GTAAATACTAGTCCATCACTCGATACAGTTCATTAACTATTTGTGGATGTCGCGGTAATCGATTGTAGCAATTCTTCGATAGAGTAGACATCTTTCATAACTATTTTGTCACCTATTAATATTACTTATAATCGCGCGCGCAAAAACATTATTGACAAATCTGTCAATAACCGGCATTGGATATGCATTTTCCAGTTTCCTCTGACATTTGCTTAATGCAAATAATTTACAATAGATAAGAAGATGACAATTCCAGTAGCAGTGAAAAGCGTGCATTAATATATGTGCCAGTAGTATAAATAAAAAAATATAGTCTTTCATCTCTGCGTATCAATTATATCATTTTGCACAATATCGGAAATTTACTGCAGTCTAAACGTATATAAAATCAATCTTATATCTAACTATATCAAGAAAGATGTTTTATATTTTCTTTTAGAAAATTTTAGAAAATGTTGAAAACATTTTCTGTATATTTCTTCCATCATATATTTATTTCATTCTACTTTATTAGAACTTTATTATAGCTTGAGAGTTGAAATATATAATTATCAATATACATACATAGATTTATCAATAGCTGGATTTGTCGTTTTTTTTTGCGGGCTCGTCGAAAATGGATTTTCGCACAGAATTCTTTCCAATGGTCACGTTATAGAATTACAACGAGAAATAGAGAGAAAAAGAGAGAAAGAGAGAGAGAGAGCGTGGAAAGTGTCGACGTAAACGTCAGGTCGGATATATTTCTTTCGTAGAAGTGCAATGTGCGCGCGCAAGTGCGGTATCGAAAAAGCCGGTTCGGAATAAATGAAAGAATTGTAGAATGGATTGCGGGAACAAGGTTAAGTTCTAGGATATCGGAATTCATGGGGCAAAATAGCGAACGGCACATGGGATATATACGATAGTGGAATAAAATTTATGACGCTGCCCGAATATTTGAGTGCGAATGCAAGAGACAGTGACGTAAGAGAAACTCACATTTAGTGCACTCTCCGCTGCAGAAGAAGCTAAAGGATCTTTTAGTGTTTCGGACAACTACAATCTCGGTTATTTTACCCTTTGCTTTTCATCCTGTTTCGATTTGTCATTTTCTCTTCCTTTCTCTTTAAATTATTTAAGTTATTCCTAAGCATTCTCGAATGTGCGCATGACTTTGCTTCATTGTTTTAAATATATTACTACTTGATATTCTTCGAGTGAGGGTGAGTCTCTTTTATACGATTCTCATATAAAATAAATATTTTTGCACCGGTATATCATATTTATCTTTTATCTTTTTTTTTTTTTCTTATTTATCTTTCGATTTTTATCATTTCGATGTTTACCGTTCACTGCTTTGTATCCTTTACATTCTCCGTTCTTGTATTATTCTTGTTCTGATGGGGCTTGTTCCAGAATAATAAACAGATCTATTTTTCTCCCTCTCTCTTTCTTTTTTTCCCCCTTTTTTTTTTTGCTTTCCTTTTTTTCCCTCATTCCTGTTTTCGGCACTAGGTCTCCCCTGAGATTTGCGAGCTCGTTGGTTATGCTACTGGCAAGAAGTAAGGTGTATCTTTTCATTGCGATGGAATTCAAAGTCGCGAGATGAGTGGATTATAGTTAGGCAAAGTCATTGTTGAAAGCAACAGCAACGTCAACGCGAGAATCCGATCAGGCCGCACCTCAATCGTGTATCGAAGCGTCAATCGTAATTGTCGCAACGACGGTCGAAATCGATATCGCGCGCGTAGCAGGCAATAAAGCCGCGACAGCGAGGATCGATTTGGTATTGAAATTTCACGCCGACTAGCGAGAATCGAGTGGATTACGGATTACAGAAATCGTCGAATGGATTCTCCTCGTTAAAAAAAGGCGAATGCATTGGCGAGAAAGCTAAGAATCACCTGATCGAATATCGGATCAAATTAAGAAGAAAGTAATTTATCGTACCTAAAAGATCACGTCATTCAAGATCTGCAGAAAATTTATACAAGTATATATTAAGAGATATGACACACGAGAAGATTAACATAGGTATTAACGAGAATGTATATTATCAAAATAATCAATCCTTGAACGTAAATTTCAAATTTAATATAAAGAAAATAATATATTTTGCATTATCAAAAAAAAAAAAAAAAGATAAGATTATATATCATCGAAAATAAAGATTAAAGAGATTGATCTTACAAGCTGTGACTATTCAAATTTTAGATGTCACAAATAATGAAGATTCTAAAATTATTGATCCACCGAATTGACGCGGAATTTGACTGTGGAATTTTGCGCTAAATAAATAAAAAAAGCAAAAAGAAAGAAGGGTGTAAAACTAGGAAAGAAAGCTTCGAAATGGGTTTGGGGAACAAGGTTAAGCACTGGGATATCGGAATGTCCGGTGAGGTGGAAAAGAGATTCGTACGGAATAGGATGGCAACTGTACAAATAGAACAGAGTCCCTCTCGGAAAAATCAAAGATGAGAAAAATACAGTTTCTTGGCGCATACATCGTATTGCGATGGTTTAATAGCGCGCGGCAGTTAAACGGCGGCCAAGCAAATAGAATGAAAATCGTTTCTAGGAGAGATGTATGAGGGAATCGACCTCGTCTAGTAAATTAAAAGCGAAGGACGACACGTCGTTGTTGACGTTCCACCAAATGCACGCAAAAACGAAGCAAGGGAAATGTGAGCTTTTAGAAAAAAGAGCGTATTAAAAAGTTCGGTCAGTAGATGGATGACGAGTTTTTATAATATCGGGCTGTGGCGTTATAATAGATCGTCGTTAGTGTGACATCTATTTCATACATCATATCTTTTCCTTGGCAAAAAATAAATTTACGAATAAAAAGGCTATATATTATTAATAAAATTTATTTCTTTATATCTTAGAATCGTCGATTATCCAAATTTATCAAAATTGATTAAATATATCTATCTCTCATAATATTTATTTATAATTTTCACAATTAGATAACAATTAGCTTACATACTTTTAATCCATCATGTTATAAATCGAGCTTCTTGGTTCTGATATGATTAAATAAACAAAGTAAACGCGCCGTTGTAAATGTCCGAAACGATGATGAAATTGAAAGCCTCATCCATCCTACTTGACGCACGAAGATATAGTTGCCGAATGTATCTATACAACACTGCGGTCGCGATATCGGAATTCGGGATATATACGTATATAAGATGGGCGAGCCAAAGTAACCGCGGGAGTGCTTCGGAATGGGTTGCGGGAACAAGGTTGAGTTCTAGGATATCGGAATATATGGGCGCGTAACACAAGGGGGTGGTAGGTAGGTAGGTAGGTAACGCGGGTGAAATTTATGGCATCGAAGGAAGGAGAGGTCCCTAAAGAAGAGGGAAAGGGAGAAAAAGAAAAGGGCAGGTAGAAAAGAGAAAAGACTATAGTCGAGGACATGGAATAAAATTGTTCGGTCTTTACATAAAACACTAGAGCACCCGTCGAAGGCGAGAAACGGAATATCTCGTTTCGTCGGCGCAACAACATAATTCTGCCGATTCGATCCGCGTCGATAGGAATGTCGAGAGAAAGAACAAAAAAAGAGGAGGAACCAGGGACGAAAAAAAAAAAAAAAAAACGGAGAGAGAGCCGAGTTGTATCCGACGGAAATCCTCTGTTGTAGCGAGATCGAATTCCTGGCCACTCCCGTCTCGCGTGGAATAATAGAACGCTCGGGGGCGAATAATATTTAAGAAAGCGGTTTTGCTTCTCTCATCCTCGACGGCAACGGCGGCGGCGAGCCGTGGAATAAGGATTTTATCGTGAATCGCCGTAACGATCGTCCTTACGACGTGATTCGCCACGTTCTCGAGGGCAAAACAGCGGTTCGCGTATTGGCTCGAGTTCAAGTCGAAACGAGACGACGATGCCCTCACGAAAAATGCGTATCCGGAAAGCTTCGGTAATATGTTACCGAATCGCTATTAACCCCAGCGATTCGACCTACTGCTTTTCTTATCTGAAAATTTTACGTAATAAAATCGGAAACGATAACTCAGGTTTTATATCGCGACGTAATCTGATTCATCTTATCTAAACGTTCTGCGCGATCAGATTTAAAATGAGAAAGCTGCTTTTATATTATAGCGTGTAGTCTGATGAGTGGAGAGCAAAATAAAGATTTTATTGAGTCGACAACTTTGAGAAGATAGCAATTTTGATTTTTGAAGAAAAGTTGATATCTTCGATCGTACTCGGAGATTTCAGATATCTCGATTCCATGTTATTTTTCGTCATATAATTCAGTTACATTATAACTTATGTCTAAAAATAACCAAAATTATTTTGCTAATGGTCATTAAAATTAATTACATTTTTATACAATAATTCTCGACACTTAATGACCCTTGTTAATTTATCGGTTCTCTATTATATAATTGGTAATTGATCGAATGCCACGCGATGTAAGGTGATTACGATGCGTATTATTAGTTAATTTAATTGGCCTCTCTCTCTCTCTCTTTCTCTCTCGCTCGTAGCATTGGTAACATCACGTGTAGCAGGCAAATGAGAAGCTAATATAGACGACTATGTACCACGCGGTACATATTGGACCGCATTCAAATCGAAACTCAAACAATGCTGCGGACGTGTTTCCGGGATCGTCAATGGACGCTAAGGAATCTGTGCTAAACGTTTTGCCGCGTGTACCGAAATTACTTTGAACTTTGGCGACTGTCTCCGCCGACGTTTGCTGTACATATACAATCATACGACGTTACAGCGAAGTAACGGCAAACAATGTTATGTCAATTTAATCAGACATCGATTTCGCGACTGCTATGAAATAGTAGTGTCGGAAATTTATATACGTATTAATAGTTTTAATAATGATACATGTAAAAGTGATATTATCGAATTTATATTTGTCTCTTTAATTTGGCTTTGAAAAGTTAAAAGTATTTCAACTTTTATTTCTAATAAAAATCGTCCTCCTGATGCTGAGAAAAAATAGAGGAAAAAAAATTGAAGATGGTCTGAAAATTTACCTGGCGGGTTTCCTGCTGTTCGCCTCGTCTCTGTTGATGGCTCTGAAATCAAATCCAATTGTAATAATTAGTGAATGAATAATTATTGCGAGGGATATATACTATATAATATATATTTAATCAAATAATATTAGTTGAACGATAAGGGAGATGTACACTAATCATTTTCTGCGAGCTACATAATTTTAGAATTTAATAAATTTTATAATTGCGTCGGTGACGGTATCGCTCTTGCGGCAAATTAATTTAATGAGTTTCTGTTCGTCGCCGATCAATTCCTTCGAAATTTTCCATAAGGGTCGTAATTCCGTAAAGAGGTTATGGCAATGCGACTCTTACTGAAAGTGGCTTTAACTAGTTAAAGTCCATCCCTTGTCGACGGGAAATACCTTTAACCGCGTCGTCGCAGTCGACAATGCTAGGGTCTCATTGGGATACCGATATATCGATATTATAGAGGAGTGCAAAACCGATTGTAATACAATAGAGAGAAGGAGAGAGAATTTCCCTTTATTACCAACTCTGAAATTATCTATATTACTAACACTATCGCAAACTAAACCGTCTCGCTTGTGTATATATTTGAATCTTCTACCAAACATTAGTTAAACAATAATTTTCTCGTACTCAAAACTTTTATAAATATAACTTATATATATTATTTTTTTAAATTATATATATATTTTTCATATAAATTGTTACAAATAAGTTACTTGTCAAAATAAGTATATATTTTTTTTCAATAATAAAGAATATAAATTTGCAATAGCTGGATCGATCCGTTCTCAGTGCGCCATGGTAACAAATCAGAACCTTGCTCTAGGGTTAAATCTATCTATCTCGCGAAACGCTCTTCTAAATGCGGAGAAATCGATCGTTGCGGTTTCGTTCGCTCGCTCGCTCGTTCGCCCGCCGCAAAGCAAATTCTCGACGCACACTGTCGGGGGCGAACGTGTTCCATCGTTAAAAATGTAAACTCCACGATCTTATAAGCGCGGGCATAGTTCATTTGCCTCATAAAGGCGAAACTAATGGTCGGCGCGGATTATGTATCCCATATTGGCTCGCATTCAAGTCGAAATTCAAACCGTGCCGTGAAACGCGCGACATGATCACCGGCCGGTCCGTTACGACCCCCGGTTGAAGCACGAGAAGTCAGCTTGTCGAATTATTAACCCTTTCGTTATCGAACAGAAATTATGCAAAACATCCATGATTTTAGGCAATATATATTTTAAATGATTATATATATTTTCATATATTATATATATTATAGATAATATTATATATATTATCATATATTTTAAAAGATTAATGCGTCTTTCTCCAGTATTATAAAGTTTCTCATTATAAGATGGGCGCATTCTACATTTTGCATCGATTATCTATAAATTTCTTGGAAGATTAAAAGTTCATTTTTCATCAAAATTTTAAATTTCTTGGTAGCTAAAATCTTCATCGTGTAAGTCACAACTTCTAATCCATTTTATTATCAATAATTTTATTATGAAATCAATTTGTAATTACCTATATACGTATGTATATATAAAGAATAGATGAGTTAAAAGGCAAAGAGCAATAATAAAACGCGCTACATTAAGTAATATAGGCAACTTTTTCTGAAATAAAATACAAATGCAATAAAATTATCTAACAAACTGATAAGTTTCAACATTCTACTTTTATTTTTATATAACTCTTTTCTGCAGTAACCGCAATAAAATGGTTGAAATAACGAATCGGCGACGATGAATCACAAATGCGGAAATAGCGCGCATTCCAACGAATCGTTACATTCTCGAATCGGCATTGAAACGATGTCGTGAAACAGGTACGTGAGATCATCATAGGATAGGAATCGAGATATTACCGTCATCGGCAGGAAGCCGGAACATTCGAAAAGAATTTTATTTTCTTATGCATTTTTATATCTATGAAGAATTCATCGCGCTAGAGTATAGTATCGAATCATCGTAACATTAGTCATCCGTTTTTATAACGGCAAGTTATTGACAGCTAAAGATTTGATATAACAAAGATTGTAAATAAATTGTGTAAAAAAGCATTATAAACTCCATCATTGAAAGGTTTCTTTTTTCTTCGCAGAAATCTATACGTGTATTTACTATAGTCCTAAAGATTTACATAGATTTGAGAAAGAGAAATAATTCTAGCTATTAAAAAGATGCGAAAATTCACTTAAAAAATTTTGAAAGTCTAATTTGACGCGAGTTACTATTTATTACCAAAATTGTTATATCATATTTTGTTAAAACTCTGGAGTTTAATATTTAAAATATGACGTGACTTACTAAACTTATTTTCTTAATTTTTTCTTAAAAAAATTTCAATAATATTTTAATCTCAATACTTAATAATCACGAATCCATCATCGTAGAATGTTAATCATGATAATTGAAAGGGAGAAAGGGAAAAGTAGTTATCAATTCTTACCGGAGAAAATACTCGCGACTGGATTAGACTCGCGTAATTAGAAATCTTGTCGCGTGGAATAAACGGACTAGACATTTCCATTCCTCGGATCTCGGATAGAGAAATATGAATCTGTAATTTCTACAATCTGTGATCACAGTTTTCTTACTTATCCTAGAAGGAATGTCTCGCGTATAAATAGAAATTAAATTACGATGAATTAATACAAAAACTGTGTTTCTTCGTATATACAAGTTATTGAAGATTCCAAAGTTGCTATTCTTTTATTTGAAAGAAACGTATAATCAAGATTATATGAATATTTTATTTAATCATTTGGATTAATCAATTACTTTTAAAACTTTATAAAACAATATTTTCTGTTCCAATATTTTTTCATAGTATCGATACGTTTTTTTAACTTTAACTTTTAATTGTAATCTTAACTTCTCTTTTTCTTCACGCCATGATCTTCAGCGAAAACTTCACTATTTATAAACGCATTTAGAGTTCTAGAATTTTCTAGAAAGCAGACAGAAGTCAAAGGTAGTCGAGAAAGCAATTCTGGTCGTAAAACATCGCAACGACGTCGGCGGTGGTGCAAATTATTGGTCCCGCGATTCCGACAATTTAACGTTTCGTCGTTATACAACGGCACGGCGCTATTCAAATCTCGCCCCTGTCTTCGCTTCCCGCTTCGCCGCAGCGTAGTAAAACAAATCCTTTTATCCCGAACGACGCGTTTCGTCTCCTCGAAACCGTAGCCCGCGTTCATCCCGCAGGATGCGTTCGGGATGAAGAGTGTAGAGAGAACGCGACGCAATTCTACGTTGACGGAGAATACTTTGTCGGTTATAGCGAGAGGGAGCAGAGACCGAGGCACATTGCGCGACGCAGCACGTCTGCATTCTGCTCCCCCTCACCCCTTTCACCGTCTCCCGACCTGTTATCGTCCCCGATGCCGCCGGCGGTGGCTGCAGACGGCGCATAAGCCACTCGTCATTATTTCATCGAAGTCGGTGGCTGGTTCAACAGGTACGTTATTTCTGGCGCAATATGCGCGTCGCGGTCCCGATTCCATGGAAGTCGTCGGACTCTGAGAAAAGAAAGCGGGACAACGAGAGGATCACGGATACGCGGGAGGATGATGGTACTTGTATACAGGATGTTGCAAAAGTGGAACGCAGATTGTTCCGTGGTCGAGTTGAATTTAAGTGTCTTTTGAACGCGTAGCTCACCGTATTAAATTTCTCTCTACATACATTTCAATATTAAATATTTTCATAAATAACGCGCGAGAGTGTATTAAATTTCTATGTGAAAAATTCTAAATTAGATTTAAATATGTAATTGCCAGTGCGGAAATTATACTGATCAAATTCATTGCTGTTCAATCACATTTGTAATGTAAAATTTATCGCCCTTTTCATTTTTACCCCTAGCATTTTTTTTTTTTTAATATGAGCGATTTTTAGGACATCCATATATTTGTGCATACCATCGTTCCACATCTTTCAACGATGCATGTGATGCCGAGACGAGAGAATGTCGAACACGGAGGGCTCGACGGAACTGGCCTCGAGCCAGAGCATTACTTCCAGGAAGGGTTAGAAGAAAAAGAGTCAGGGAAGACGATACATACGCGAGAGTGAGAAAATGGAAAATGAGAGAGAGAGAGAGAGAGAGAGAGAGAGAGAGAGAGAGAAACAAGGACTGTGGGGCCGGTAACCCGAATGAATATTTAATTTCTGCATATCTCACCCCCCGGGTAAAGTTCAGAGCGACGAGATGGCCGGCTCGCTCCCAGGAGGATAGAAGGAAGAGCCCCGTGTCCCTTGTACTTCCTAGCAGTCCCCGTGATATAGGGTAGACACTCCCGAGGATCTCTCTCGCCACCGCTACCACCGCCGCTATTACCCTATCCCGCACAACCCCCAATCCTTTCCCACTCTATCCGGAGAGTTCGCTCTGCCGGCTGCTTTCCGCCGCGGTCGCTCGTGGCCGAAGGGCCAATTACGACCTTCCTTACGAGAAGGCGGAGACGAGGGTGGATGGAAAAAGACGAGAGCGGGATGGAAAAAAAAGCGGGAGAGAAAGAAAAAGAAACGACGACGAGACGTAGAGTGAAAGGGGGAGGGAAAAGACGAGAGTGCAGCGTAGTGCCTGAAGAGCGTAGAAGCAGGGGATGGTCGAGAGAACGAAAGGTCGTGAAGAGCCGGGGATGGTCCGGAGGGTTCTAGACGAAGGTATTTCCACGGAGATCTGGATCTTAGACTCGATGGACCGCAGACCATCCAGGAGAGGCGGAATATGGACGCGCCGTCGACAGAGTGGGGTTGGAAGAGGATGCAGAGGCAAGGGAATGGAACGGGGGTGCGGTCGAAAGTTTCAGTGGAAAGATAAAGGCGCGAGCGAGATCGATTAGTACGCCCTGGGTAACGAAAGAGTAATTTATAGTGAGCAAAGGCGACGGGCTCGAAAGGAAAGCAGAATGGAATAGTGAATTATAACGAGAGAGAAGGAGAAAGAAGACCATAGTCAAAAAGAGAATGAAGAATTGACGAAGAAGAAGGAAAAAGGACGGTTAAGTTGGTCGAAGAAATATTTAA